GAATACATGGTATTTGATAATTTTATAAAGAGCAAAGTAGACTTTTACTATGCAAAATAGCATAATTGGCATTTGGTTAGTTGTGAAAGGGTATTCTTGACTTTTATCATGCAAATGGCATGAATGGTATTTAGTAGGAAATAAAAGGACTTTTGAGTCATTTCTTATGATTTTGGTTTTAATCCATGGAGGGGATGACATGTGTAGGTGTATGTGGTTGCACCATATCCATTCATTTTATAACATATAGTATGCCTAGTGTTTTGTTCTTAGAAACCATTTTGGCAAAACCCAATTTTCGTGCATTCTATTTCCTTTCCATAGTGATACCTTTTAAGCTCAATTTTGGAAGCTTTGTGTTGGGATTTTGATGGGGCTTTGTGAAGGAAAAATGTTCCTTAGATAGTGAGGGTTCTTTTGATATCAAACTTGAGTCCATTTCTTTTGTTGCTGGGTTTGGAAAGTGGTGTTAAAAGAAGAGGGTTTTGGTTGCAAACAAAGAAGGAAGTGTTCTTCATTTTCTACCTTGGAAGGCTTTGATCCATCATTTGAGTTGCTTTAAGTTGTGATTATTGCTGAGTTTCAAGCTTCTTTGAGGTAGGATTACTTAACTCTCACACCCTTTACCTTTAAGGAATCAATTCTATGTGTTTTGTGCTTAAAACATAGGTAGTTACTTATTTTTCGCAATTGTGGAATCACAGCAACCTGAACTTCAAAGGATCATACCGTCCATGTTTTAAGTCCAAATTAAGCGATTTTTGAGTCTAAATTGACTAGCTTGAAACAAGATTTCCAATGATACCAAATTTAGCCTTAGATTCCAGCTGTAGAAAAAGTTATGATCTTGTAAACATAGGCTGCTAGTTTTGCGCTGTAATCTGCAGAATTTCCTGCACAGCGACCTGAACTTCAACTGACCACAACTCTCTCATTTTAAATCCAAATTGAGCTATTTTTGAGTCTAAATTGACTAGCTCGAAACAAGATTTCCAAATATACCAATTTCAGCCTTAGATTCTAACTGTAGAAAAAGTTATGACCCTGTAAACATAGGCTATCAGTTTTGCACTGTAATCTGCAGAATTTCCTGCACAGCGACCTGAACTTCAACTGACCATAACTTCCTCATTTTAAATCCAAATTGAGCTATTTTTGAGTCTAAATTAACTAGCTCAAAACAAGCTTTCTAATGATAACAATTTCAGCCCTAGATTATAACTGCAGAAAAAGTTATGACCTTGTAAACATAGGCTGCTACTTGAATGTTGGTTGTTATGATATGGGAAGTTTTGTACTTGATTTCCTAAATGTTATTAAGCACTGTTTACGTTGTTATGCGGCAAATGTGAGTTAGAAAGCATGCTTCTTATGTTATACAACCATGGGTTACTTAGCCTGTTAATTTACCATGCTTGTGTGTGGATTAAAATGCAATACCATAATATTGTATATGAGTTGAGATTTCTATATTTACTTCATTATCTGTACACATGTTATACAAATGTACATGCATCTCACATGAGCATGGGGGTGATGTTGGAATAAGAGGGAAAGTGCAAATGTTTTATTAAATGGTTTTGAAAACCGGATAACAGGGAGGTGCCTTGTATCCGTGAGTTTGGAAAAGAAAAAGGGAATTGAATCAAAGATTGAAAAACCGGACAAGGAGTTGCCTTGGCTGTGCAGTTAATGAAAATCTAGAGAAGACGCAGGAGTTGCCTACACGTAATTGTGTCACTAGGCCCCAAATGATTACAAGGAGTTGCCTTGGATCAGGGATAGATGATCAATTCTCTTCTCGTGGTACAGGGAGCAGCTCTGGCCGGATTACATTAACTTTTTGTGATGGAAATGGGACTTTGGGAAGTGAGAGGTGTCAGTGACATTAGCATTGGCATTGGCGTTACATGGCACTTCATTTTATTATCTCATATGATATGTTGCTTTCCCCTGAGCTTGTATGATCCCTTTATCTTTTATCCGTCCTTTGTTTGGATTCACGGAGGTATTAAGGAGTGCGCTTTAAGTAATTCCTGCTGAGCTGTGGTTGCTCATTCCTATTTTATACATATCTTTTCAGGTCATGGCACGGATGGTATGGAGGGTGTTCCTCCTCAGCTGTAGACAGAGTCGGGGCTAGTGTTGTAGTGTTTTGTTCCGCATAATAGACTATGTTTTGTCTTATATTTCTTTAGAATTTTCCTGGCATGTAATAAATGTTCTTTCAGACTTTAAAACTTTAAAGTTTTAATATTGGCATCTTATCTATTTATTTTCAGTCTTGATTTTATAAAGGCAAATGGATAGGTGGATGCGTGGTTGAGACAGGTTACAAGGATATTTATTAATTTTGAGACTGTGATTATTTGTGTGTTGTGTTCACAATCCGGACCACGGTCTAGGGGCGTGACAGTTATGGTATCAAAGCATGGTTCCTATAACCTAGGGACGACGGGTAGAGGTCTATCTACAGCTGTGTGTAGGGGTTTGCATTGTCTTATGTGCTTATATGTTTATCTAGTATTTGTCTTGTAATCATGCTTATGTGAATATGTGATTATGTGTTTATTTTATTACGATAAAGCATGCTATATGTTTTATGGCTCTTATTCATATGAGTCAGTTTGGGACTGTGGATAGTGACATTGTTATTGACGTGCATTTCATTGTAGTATGCCACCTCGTAGGAAGGACAAGGCACCGAGAGGCCAAGAGAGTAGGCCTACAGTTGGACGGTCTGGGGAGAGTTCTGCATCTCACCCTATGGGACAGGGAGGTTTGCCACTGCCAGTGATGTTTGCAGGGGAAGATGAGACAAAAAGACGTCTCAAACTTATCTCCACATTTGTCAGACTCATGCCTACACTGTTTGAGGGTGGGACTGATCCGTTGTTGGCAGATGATTGGTTTAACCAGGTGGAAAAGCATATTGATGCTCTGGCAGTTGAAAATGATTCTGTGAAGATTCTGTTGGCTACCTACAACTTTACTAGGGATGCCAAATTGTGGTGGAAGTCAGTGTCTAATAGAGTGGACGTGAAGACATTGTCATGGGATGCTTACAAAGAGTTATTTTACAATAAGTTCTTTCCTGCAACTAAAAGATGGGAGCTGCACAAGGAGTTTATCTCTCTGTTCCAGAACAATTCTATGACAATGACAGACTACGAGAATAAATTCACTTCTCTTTCTCGTTTTGCTCCAGAGATTGTAAGTAAGGAATCAGATAAAGTCCATAAGTTTGTAGAGGGACTCCATCATCGGATTAGGACTTTTGTGGAAGTACAGTGCCTACAGACTTATCCTGAGGCTGTAGAAAGGGCATTGATTGTTGAAGTTGAGCTGAATGATAAAAATTAGACTCGGGATCAGTGGAAGTAAAGACGAGCCAGTGGTTCAGAGGCTGAGGGTCAGTCTAGCAAGAGGCATAGAAGGAGTTCATTTAGGTCTGGAGGACAGCAGTCAGTCCGACTTACTCCTTCGACTTCTGTACCATCAGGAGCAGGTAGGAGTGAGGTTATATGTTTCAGATGTCAGCAGCCTGGTCATTATGTGTCTGATTGTCCACAGTCTTTTTCTACGAGAGCTTGCTTTGGATGTGGGCAGCGGGGCTATAGGGTTAGAGACTGTCCGAGGAGGACTGGTGGCTCAGGCAAAGGTTCTGGTAGTGGTTGTGGTACACAACAGAGACCATCTCAGTCTGCTACAGTACAGTCTGGGTCTAGACCACCACAGCCAACTGCATCTTCACAGGGATCGAGACCAGTTAGGAGGGTAGTTCTACAGGGACTAGTCAGCAGTCCGGGGTTCAGGTTGGAGGTTCACAGGCTCAGATATCCCAGGGCTGAGTGTATGCACTTCTTGAGACATCTTCAGGACCGTCAGTGGTGAGGGGTATGTTTCCAGTCTTTGGATCTTGGGCTCGTATTTTGTTTGATTCTGGTGCATCTCATTCATTCATTTCATGCACATTTACACTTGCATCAGGATTAGAGGTTGGATTTTTGGACCGAGTGTTGAGTGTTGATACGCCAGTCAGTGGTTCATTAGTTGAGAGCAGAGTGGTGCGGGATTATGCCATTGTGATTGCTGGGCGAACTTTGGTTTTTGATCTTATCCTTCTTGAGATGACAGGGTTTGACATCATTCTTGGGATGGATTGGTTATCATCATTTCATGCCAACATTGATTGCTTCAGTGGTAGAGTTTCAGTATGTACGCCGGAGGGAGATTGTTTTATGTTTGTGGGAGATCGGGGTGATTCCTTGGTTTCATCTTGTTATGGTGTTCGTGGTTGGGACTGTTGTGATTTTTTCTTAGCTAGCATTTTAGCTGAAGAAGATGGTGATGTGGGGACAATTTATCCGTCAGTTGTTTGTGAGTTCTTGGATGTGTTTCCAGATGACTTACCGGATTTACCTCCTAGAAGAGAGGTTGAGTTTGTAATTGACTTGATGCCTGGTACTGCACCAATTTCTATGGTTCCGTATCATATGGTACCAGCAAAGCTGGAGAAATTAAAGAAGCAATTGGATGATTTGAGGTTGAAGGGTTTTATTCGGCCTAGTGTTTCACCATGGGGTACGCCAGTGTTGTTTGCAAAGAAAAAGGATGGTTCTATGAGGTTGTGCATTGATTATCGGAAATTGAATCATGCAACCATCAAGAACAAGTATCCTTTACCGCGGATTGATGATTTGTTTGATCAGTTGAGGGGAGCTATTTGCTTTTCCAATATTGATCTGAGATCTGGTTACTACCAATTACGAGTTCGGGATGAGGATATTCCGAAGACAGCTTTTCGTACGCGGTATGGTCATTATGAGTTCCTTGTGATGCCTTTTGGTTTGACGAATGTGCCAGCTGCATTTATGGATCTGATGCACCATGTCTTTCATAGATATCTGGACTAGTTTGTGGTAGTGTTTGTGGATGACATTTTGGTGTATTCACGATCTCGAGAGGATCACGAGATCCATCTGAGGATAGTGTTACAGATGCTGAGAGAGCACCATTTGTATGCCAAGTATTCCAAGTGTGAATTTTGGCTGCAAGAGGTGAAGTTTTTGGGACATGTTGTTTCAGGTAATGGGGTGTCAGTTGATCCTTCGAAGATAGAAGCAGTTCTAGATTGGGAACGTCCCAAGAATGTGTATGAGATTCGGAGTTTTCTTGGCTTAGCGGGTTATTACCGCAGGTTTGTGAGGGACTTTTCTCGCTTAGCTGCTCTTATGACTCGGATGACCTGAAAGGGGATCAGATTTGATTGGACTGAAGCTTGTGAGTCATCTTTTCAGGAGTTGAAGACTAGATTGACTACAGCTCCATTATTGGTGATACCTGAGCGTGGCTTGGGTTATGTTGTCTTTTGTGATGCTTCTCGGGATTGATTGGGCTGTGTGTTGATGCAGGGTGGTAAGGTAGCGGCTTATGGATCTAGACAGTTAAAGATTCACGAGCTTAACTATCCCACCCATGACTTAGAGTTAGCAGCAGTTGTTTTTGCTTTGAAAAGCTGGAGGCATTATTTGTATGGTGAGAGATTCGAGGTGTTCTCAGATCACAAAAGTCTCAAGTACCTTTTCTCTCAGAATGACTTGAATAATAGATAGAGGCGATGGGTTGAATATTTGGAAGACTATGATTTTGATTTGCAGTATCATCCGGGTAAGGCGAATGTGGTAGCAGATGCCTTAAGCCGGAAGTCTCGTGGAGTTTTGGCTGGGTTAGCCATTCAGAAATGGAAGATGTTGGAGGATCTAGCAGAGATGGGATTACAGTGTTATGATGACAATGTTGGTTATGAGTCAGCTTTTCTGTTTAGTCTTGTGGTTCAACCTACTCTTGTTACACGGGTGATTGAGGCACAGAGACAGGACTCAGATTTAGCTGCCATTCATCAGTTGATTTCAAGTAGGGACACAGTAAAGGACTGGACCTTACACACAGATGGTGGTTTACGGTTTAAAGGTTTGCTTGTGGTTCCTACGATTTGTCGGGAGGATGTGTTACAGGAGTTTCACACTTCTCATTTTACTGTGCATCCAGGTGGTACTAAAATGTATCATAATTTGAAACACCAGTATTGGTGGAATGGGATGAAGGCAGATGTAGGTTAGTTTGTTGCCAGATGTCTTACTTGTCAGCAGGTAAAGGCAAAGCATCAGAGACCTGCAGGTTTGTTACAGCCATTGCCAGTAGCACAGTGGAAATGGGAATGTATTGCTATGGATTTTGTGACAGGACTTCCGAGGTCACCGAGGGGTAATGAGTCTATTTAGGTCATTATTGATAGATTGACTAAGACCGCTCACTTTTTGCCTGTTAAGGCGACAGATTCTGCAGAGGCACTTGGCAGATTGTATGTCAGAAAGATTGTCAGATTGCATAGGGTTCCATTGTCCATTGTTTCGGACAGGGATGCCAAGTTCACATCGAAGTTCTGGGAAGGGCTTTATGCAGCGTTTGGTTCACCGTTGCATTTTAGTACGGTATTCCATCCGCAGATGGATAGCCAGTCGAAGCGTACTATCTAGATCTTGGAAGATATGCTTCGGGCCTGTGTACTTGATTTTGGTGGTAGTTGGGAGGATCATTTACCTCTTGTTGAGTTTGCCTATAACAATAGCTATCAGTCGAGCATTGAGATGGCTCCTTTTAAGGCATTGTATAGTAGGCCTTGTCGTTCTCCTGTTTGTTGGACTGAGGTGGGTGAGACAGCTGCCTTAGGGCCAGACATTGTCTTGGAAACCACTGAAAAGATTAAGTTGATTCAGCAGCGGTTGTTGACTGCTCAGAGCCGACAAAAAAGTTACGCAGATAGACAGAGACAGCCATTATCCTTTAAGGTGGGAGACCACGTGTTTCTCAAGGTTTCTCCACGAAAAGCATTGCTACGGTTTGGAAAGAGTGGCAAGTTGTCACCTTGTTTCATTGGGCCATTTGAGATTTTGGACTGAGTGGGCGAGGTTGCTTACAAATTGGCATTGCCACCATTGATGGACAGGGTCCATAATGTGTTTCATGTTTCGATGTTGCGGAAGTATGAGCCAGATCCATCACATGTATTGAGTTGGGTTGATGTTGACATTGATGAGGATGTTTCTTACGAGGAGGGACCCATTCAGATTCTTGACACTCGGGACAAAGTGTTAAAGGGAAAAATGGTAACTCTCGTGAAGGTTTTGTGGCGAAATCACGATATTAAGGAGGCTACGTGGGAACGGGAACAGGATGTTCGTTCTGCGTATCCGAGTTTGTTTTCTTCCCCAGGTACGACTTGATTTCGGGGATGAAATCCTTGTATGTTGGGGAGACTGTGAGGACCTGCATTTTTATCATTTTTCGAACATTTTAGCATTCATGCATTTTATTTTTATTCTCAAAAATATGATTATTTTGCAAATGTGAATTAAATATCATTATGTGTTAAGAAATATTATAGACTATGTTATGCAAATAGCATATTTGTCAATTAGTATTTCATAAAGGGTATTATGGACTTTTTGTTTTACAAATGGAATACATAGTATTTGATAATTTGATAAAGAGCAAAGTAGACTTTTACTATGCAAAATAGCATAATTGGCATTTGGTTAGTTGTGAAAGGGTATTCTTGACTTTTATCATGCAAATGGCATGAATGGTATTTAGTAGGAAATAAAAGGACTTTTGAGTCATTTCTTATAATTTTGGTTTTAATCCATGGAGGGGATGACATGTGTAGGTGTATGTGGTTGCACCATATCCATTCATTTTATAACATATAGTATGCCTAGTGTTTTGTTCTTAGAAACCATTTTGGCAAAACCCAATTTTCGTGCATTCTATTTCCTTTCCATAGTAATACCTTTTAAGCTCAATTTTGGAAGCTTTGTGTTGGGATTTTGATGGGGCTTTGTGAAGGAAAAATGTTCCTTAGATAGTGAGGGTTCTTTTGATATCAAACTTGAGTCCATTTCTTTTGTTGCTGGGTTTGGAAAGTGGTGTTAAAAGAAGAGGGTTTTGGTTGTAAACAAAGAAGGAAGTGTTCTTCATTTTCTACCTTGGAAGGCTTTGATCCATCATTTGAGTTGCTTTAAGTTGTGATTGTTGCTGAGTTTCAAGCTTCTTTAAGGTAGGATTACTTAACTCTCACACCCTCTACCTTTAAGGAATCAATTCTATGTGTTTTGTGCTTAAAACATAGGCAGCTACTTGTTTTTCGCAATTCTGGAATCACAGCAACTTGAACTTCAAAGGAACATACCGTCCTTGTTTAATTCCAAATTGAGCGATTTTTGAGTCTAAATTGACTAGCTCGAAACAAGCTTTCCAATGATAACAATTTCAGCCCTAGATTATAACTGTAGGAAAAGTTATAACCTTGTAAACATAGGCTGCTACTTGAATGTTAGTTGTTATGGTATGGGAAGTTTTGTACTTGATTTCCTAAATATTATTAAGCACTGTTTACATTGTTATGCGGCAAATGTAAGTTAGAAAGCATGCTTCTTATGTTATACAACCATGGGTTACTTAGCCTATTAATTACCATGCTGTGTGTGGATTAAAATGCAATACAATGATATTTTATATGAATTGAGATTTCTATATTTACTTCATTATCTGTACACATGTTATACAAATGTACATGCATCTCACATGAGCATGGGGGTGATGTTAGAATGAGAAGGAAAGTGCAAATGTTTTATTAAATGGTTTTGAAAACCGGATAACTGGGAGGTGCCTTGTATCTATGAGTTTGGAAAATAAAATGGGAATTGAATCAAAGATTTTAAAACCGGACAAGGAGTTGCCTTGTCTGTGCAGTTAATGGAAATCTAGAGAAGACGTAGGAGTTGCCTACACATAATTGTGTCACTAGGCCCCAAATGATTACAAGGAGTTGCCTTGGATCAAGGATAGATGATCAATTCTCTTCTCGTGGTACAGGGAGCAGCTCTGGCCGGATTACATTAACTTTTTGTGATGGAAATGGGACTTTGGGAAGTGAGAGGTGTCAGTGACATTAGCATTGGCATTGGCGTTACATGGCACTTCATTTTATTATCTCATATGATATATTGCTTTCCCCTGAGCTTGTATGATCCCTTTATCTTTTATCCGTCCTTTGTTTGGATTCACGAAGGTATTAAGTTGTGCGCTTTAAGTAATTCCTGCTGAGCTGTGGTTGCTCATTCCTATTTTATACATATCTTTTCAGGTCATGGCACGGATGGTATGGAGGGTGTTCCTCCTCAGCTGTTGACAGAGTCGGGGCTAGTGTTGTAGTGTTTTGTTCCGCATAATAGACTATGTTTTGTCTTATATTTCTTTAGAATTTTCCTAGCATGTAATAAATGTTCTTTCAGACTTTAAAACTTTAAAGTTTTAATATTGGCATCTTATCTATTTATTTTCAGTCTTGATTTTATAAAGGCAAATGGATAGGTGGATGCGTGGTTGAGACAAGTTACAAGGATATTTATTAATTTTGAGAATGTGATTATTTGTGTGTTGTGTTCACAATCCAAACCACGGTCTAGGGGCGTGACAGTTTCTGACTTCGCGTATCTTCATTCTTAATGATTTCTATGAGATACGAGTCTTTACTTTCGTGAGAAAATACTCTGGTTGCTCCCGGTGTCCATAAGGGCATAAATGCAAAGTTCTTTGGAAACTTTTTCATTTCTTGGGGTGTTTTTCATAAATATTGTTTGAAGATATTTTATTTCAGGGGTATCTAAGAAAATATCTTTTGAAAGATATTTTCATTCTGGGGCAGTTTCCCAGTTTTCACTTTTTGGAGGGGTCATTGTGCAATTAATGAAAGTTATTACTCAATGCCTTGTTTTGAGTTTGGATCCTCGTACAGGATTCATTTTCACATTTCGTCGAGTCGTGGACTCTTAGAATTTCCTCCTGGACGATGTTTTCCAGTTTCAGGGTTTCTGGCCCCGGTTTGCGCCAAACTTGTTTTGGGCATAACTCTCTGCTCGGGACTCAGTTTTTGACACCGTTTCTTTCGTTGTTCATATTTTCTCATTTGGAATCTTTTTCATTCACGGATTTTTGCCATTTGAGTGTGTCTGCGTGAATTCTACTTTTCCGGACCCGGCGGGGCCCGTTCGGGGCACTTTTTAAGTTTTTCTATAAATAGGATGTCTTAGAAAGAAAAATCAGATTTTTCTCTCTCTCTCCTCTCTCATGGCCGGTCCAAGCTCCATCCATGGCTGCCGTCTTCTCTCTCCTCTTTTGGACTTCTTCCCTTCATTAAAAAGTGGTGATGCCTTTGTGTTTATCGTTCCCCTCGGCGAGGCCTACGATTCCAACTGATTGGAATCTCGTTTTGGCCATTTCTTGAGTTCGGGTTTGAAGTCAAGTTGTGTTTTTGATGGGGCTTCCTTGGGATTCATGTTCGTGGTGTTGTCCCCGACAAAACCTAGGAGTTTCGTCGGATTCGGAGCCAATTTATTTTAGTGGGGATTTGAGATTTCATCTCAAATAGAGGTAGGGAATGTTTTAGGATTTCTTGTGTGTTGTATTGTATATTTTCCATGATTATACAACTTATATATGTGCTTTGTATCAAATCTAGAAAGTTAGTAATTTTTAATTCTTTGTATAAGATTTAAAATTCATGATGATATATAACTTTGATTTGAATTGTGGCATGGTAGAAAATCTTGTTTTAATATGTTGGTTAACATATATTAATTTGGGATTAATTAAATAAGAATTGCTCTTTTTAATTAATATTTATCTTTTGTGAAAAATTTAAGTTCATGGCCATACCTTGCATGGAATTGAGTTGTATTATGCTTCTAAATTAAGTTTTGTCATGTTTGTTAACATACTTAAATTTGAGAGCATTTGGTTGAGTTTGAAAATTTAGAGACTTTAATTAAGAGAATTAATTAAAATCTAATTTTTGTGGTTTCATGGGCCTAATTAAGCTTGTGTGTGAATCTATGTAATGACCATGATATGTCTATTAACATATATTAAATTGGGGCCAATTGGAAATGATTTGAAATCTAGAGAGTTTAATTATTTTGATGTAATTAAATTCTATCTTGTGTATCCATGGATCTAATCATGTTTTAGAAGTTGTTTCTATTTTAAGAGCATAGATTTAGACTTGTGATGTATTCACTAGATTGTGTTATATGCATTAAAGAGCATTGTTGTTAAGTTTATATTCATGAGAGTATGTCTCTAATATGAATATATTATTGGCTTGTGATTTCGTAGCATTATGGATATGAAATGCTTATTATGCACAATTGAGAGTTATATTGCTAACTTGTTACTATGTAGTAGTAATATATATAAGTTATGAACTTATTTGGCTTATTTTAGAATCTTGGAATATTGTTGAGTTGAGATGGCTAGGGTTTGGCTCTAGTACGGGGACATGAGTCCTCTAAGTCATTGAGATAGTGCGCACTTAGGGTGGTCTTCCCTGCGGGTTAGTGCCCAGAATAACCATTGAGGTCTCGGCAGAATTCCGAGCATGATGTCCAAGTCTTCCACTTTTTGTTTTCCCATTCAATTCCAAGTTGACAATCATGTTTACCTTATTGACTTGTGGTTTTGGCTATTGGCGATTTTGATATTGTTAAGTACATCCATACTAAATTGTTATATTTAGTTGATTTCACACTTTTAGATTTCTAGTTGATAACCTAGAGAATCTATGTCTTGATGTGTGGTATTAGATATTCTAATTATGCTAAATTGTTATATTTAGTTGATGTTACATTTTAGACTTCAAGTTGATAACCTTGAGAATTTATATGTTGTTGCTTTATGTAAGCATGCGGCTATGTTATTGCTTTGTGTAAGCATGCTCCTATGTTGTTACTTTGTGTAAGCATGACCCTATGTTACTAAAATTGCATGAATGAGGTGATTGATGCTAGAAATGATCTTAGGTAGCTAGGATGCTCCTTGAGTCTCACCTTTGACATAGACG